TATTTTGCTTTAAATAAACGTGATGTGTGGATGGTATCCTGAGTTGCGCAGTTGGATATATTAAATATTCTTCCATTATGTGTTGAATATTGCAAGAAGGAAAGGCTTCTATCATTTCCAATAAAAGTAAGAGCTTGCATTTAAAGTGCCTTTTATGACCACAGGATGACCTAAAATGTTTCACAGACAATGAAGTACTTTTTGAGCTATAAGGCTGATAGAATATAGAAAAACAGAGAACTAATTTGTGCTCAGTGAAATGCTGCTAAAAGCAGTAAGATATGGATCTTTAATCTGAAAGAACAGACAACACATCAGTTTAATGAAAGACAGCACCTCCAGCAGTGCATCGCCTCCTGTGCACTGCATGTCAGTCATGATATTCACTTCAGTCCTGAGCCTGCTTGATTCTGATGATAGTGTGTTATGAATAAACTAAGGCTGACATGACGCAATTTACAAAATAAGTATATTATACAACAGTGTGCAATGTTGCATTTATCAGATATTATGGTTATAGAATCACAGAACTGTTATGGCACAGTAGAAGGCCATTCACCCGTTGTGCCTGCACTGCGTTTTTAACTGAGGATTATTACCTGATGCTAATTTCCTGCTTTTTCCACATAATCTTGAACACTATTTCTATCCAAATAATTATCCAATACTATCTTGAGGGTTTATATTGAACATGCCTCCACCAAAATTTCATGGAATCCCTACAGTGTGGAAGCAAACTATTTGGCGCATCAAGTCAACACTGACCCTCAAAGAGCATCCAACCCAAACCCATCCCCCTACCTTATCCCTGTAACTCTGCATTTCCTATGGCTAATCCATCTAGCCTCCACATCCCTGAACACTATGGGCGATTTAGCATGGCCAATCCACCTAACCTGCATATCTTTGGACTGTGGGGGGGAAACCAGAGCACCAGGAGGAAATTCATGCAGATACAGGGAGAATGTGCAAGCTCCACACAGACAGTCACCCCAGGTTGGAATCAAACCTGAGTCCCTGGGGCTGTGAGGCAGCAGTGCTAACCACTGAGCCACCGTGCCACCCAGCAGGATATTCCATAACTTAGCCACTCATTTTGTGAAAGTTCTTGCTCATAGCACTCTTGATTCTTTTGCAACCAAAACAGAAATTGCTGGAAAAACTCAGCAGGTCTGGAAGCATTTGTGGAGAGAAATCAAGATTAACATTTTGGGTCCAATAACCCTTCTTCAAAACTGATGGTAGCCAAGAAAATTTGGATTTCATGCAGAGGATGGAGTGGTGGGAGGGCATAAGGAGTAAACAATAGGTGGAGATAGAGCCCAAAGAGAGAAAAAAACAGTTGGACAGACAAAGGAGTGGATAATAGTCATCCTAAGAGAATGAATAGCTACTAATGGAGACTATTAGTGGCTGACAATGGGTTGTGTGTAATAGCAGACATGTGACAACAAGGCCTGATGTGTGGGGGAAAGCATGAGGAAGATATTCAAGTCTTAAAGTTGTTGAACTCAATATTGTGTCGGGTAGGCTGTAATGTTCCCAGAGGAAAATGAGGTGCTGTCCTTCCAGCTTGCACTGAGCTTCACTGGGGCACTGCAGCAAACCCAAAACAGAGATGTAAGGAACAGGGCAGTCTGATGAAGAGGCAGGCAACAGGAAGCCTAGGATTCTTTATGTGGACAGAACGTAGATGTTCTACAAAGCAGGCACCCAGTCTATGCTTTGTTTCCCCAATATAGAGGAGATCACATTGTGAGCAGCAAATGCAGTCGACTAGTTTGAGTGAAGTGCAGTAGACCACCCCGCTCTCGCCTTCACCTGGTGCATCTCTGACTCCTCCCTTCCCTTCCCCGATATCTCAAGCTTTATTTTTGGGGATAGGCTGGCCACCAATATCCAGTCCAAACCAACTGACTCCTACAGTTACCTTAACTATACATCCTCACACCCTGCTTAAAGTAAAGCCCTGTTCCATTCTCCGTCACATCTGTTCTGATAGTGCTAGCTTTGACAAGAGGCTGTCCAAAATGTCCACTTTCTTCCTCAACTGAGGATTCCCCAGTTCTGGGTCTGGCCCATCTCCCACACTTCAGCACTCACCCCCTCTCTTCCCTTCCACAACAATGATAGTGTCCCCGTTGTCCTTACCTACCATCCCACCAGCGTCCACATCCAGAGGATCATTTGCTGTCATTTTTGCCACATCCAGTGACATGCCACCACCAGACACGCATTGCCCTACCCCACCTTGTCATCTTTCCCTCTGGGACACCCTGATCCACCCCTCCTTCACTCCCAACACTCCCAGCCCATGTCCCCTCCCCATTTGGCACTTTCCCATACTTCTGTCAAAGGTGTAAGACCCAGAATCATAGACTAATACAAAATGGAAACAGGCCCTTCAGCCCAAACTTGTCTATGCTGACCATGGTGCCCACTCAGCTCGTTCCAGTTGGCCACATTTAGTCCATATCCCTCAAATTCCTTCCCATCCTTGTAACTATCCAAATGTTTTTTTTAAATGTTGCTATTCCACATGCCTCAACCACTTTCTCTGGCAGCCCATTCCTTATATGGACCACTCTCTGTGTGATGAAGTTGTCCCTCAGGTCCTTCTTAAATCCTTCCCCTCTCACCTTAAACCTATGCCATCTAGTTTTCAATTCCCCATCCCTGGAAAAAAGATTATATGCATTCATCCTGTCTATGCCCCTCATGATTTTATACTCCTCAATAAGGTCAGCCCTCATTCTCCCACATTCCAAGGAATAAAGTCCCATCCTGGCCAACCTTTCCCTATAACTCAGGTCTACAAGTCCTGGTAACATCCTCGTAAATCTTCTTTGCAGACTTTCCAGTTTAACTATGTCTTTCCTATAACAGGGTGACCAAAACTGTACACAATACTCCAAGTGCGGCCTCACCAACGACTTATACAACTCTAACATAAGGTCCCAATTCCTATATTCAATGCCTCGACCGATTAAGGCCAGCATGCTAAATGCTTTCTTCACCACCCTGTCTACCTGTGATGCTGCTTTCAATGAACTTTGTACTTGTACTCCTAGGTCCCTCTGTTTCACAGCAGTCCTCAGGACCTTACCATTTATTGGATAAGTCTTATCTTGGTTTGACTTTCCAAAGTGCAACACCCCATACTTATCTGTATTGAATTGCCTTTGCCAATCCTCAGCCCACTTCCCCATCTGTAATTGCCTCTGTAATTTTTGATAATCTTCCTCACTATCAATGACCTTCCTAATTTTGTATCATCCACAAACTTACTAATCATGCCTTGTACATTCACATCCAGATCATTTACAGAAATTACAAATAACAAAGGTCCCAGCACCAGCCCCTGTGGTACACCACTAGTCACAGGCCTCCAGTCCAAGAAACAACTTCCAACCATCACTGTCTGCGTCCTACTATTGAGCCAATTTTGCCCATTTACTTCTTTCCTCTTCAGTATTCAAGGGCCCAAACACATCTACCAGGTGAAGCAGCACCTTACCTGCACTTTACTCAATTTCGTAACTGCATTCGCTGCTCACAATGTGCTGTCCTCTACCATGGGGAGATGAAGCTTCGCACAATGCCTACTTCCTCTCTGCAAAAAATACCCTGAACTTCCTGTTGCCTGCCACTTCAACATACCACCTTGGTTCCTGACCAACATCTCCAACTCAGGCTTGCTGCAGTGCTCCTAGTGAAGCTCAGTGCAAGCTGGAAGAACATTGCCTCATTTTCCACTTGGGAACTCTTCAGTGTTCTGGACTCAATATCAAGTTCAACAATTTTAGGGCTTAAGCACCTTCCCCACGCTTTCCCTCACCTTCACCCACCAGACCTTGTTGTCACATGGTCTGCTATTGCACACAACATATTGTCAGCCACTAATCATCCCCATTAGGAACTATTCATTCTCTTAGACTAATCTTTGTCTGTCCAACCATCTTTCCCTCTCTCTGGGCTCCATATTGACCTATCCTTTACTCCTCCCCCAACCCCACACCCCATCTTCAGCATATATACGAACCATTTACCAGGTACCATCAGTTCCGAAGAAGGGTCACTGGACTTGAAACATTAACTCTGATTTCTCTCCACAGAGGCTGCCAAACCTGCTGAGCTTTTCCAGCAATTTCTGTTTTTGTTTCTGATTTCCGGCATCCACAGTTCTTTCGATTTTTTTTTGTTTCTTTTGCTCATCACTTTAAATCCACGCCACCTTAGTCATGTTCCTTTTACAGGAACAAACAATTTCTCCCTATCCACTCTATCTAACCTGCTCACATATTTGAAAACTTCTATCAGTTCTTGCCAGTGTGTGCCCATCTTTCCTACAATGTGGTGACCAAAACTGTACAGAATACTCCAGCTGAGGTTTGATAAGTGTCTTATACGAGTTCAACATCACCTCCTTGCTCTTGAATTCTATGCTGCTATTATCAACGTTGAGGACACTGCTCTCCACCTGTCCTGCTGCATCCAATGATCTATGCACCTATATACCTAGGTCGCTCTACGCCCGTACACCCTTTAGAATTTTACCCACTATTTCACATTGTTTTTCAATGTTCTTCCTACTAAAGTCCATCATCTCACATTTCTCAACATTAAACCTCATCTAGCACCTCTCTGCCAACTCCACCAACTTTTCAATGTCCTTTTAGAGTTCCACACTATCCTCACAGTTTATAGTTCTTCCAAGTTTCATGATATGAAGTCGCATTTGAATTTATATGATGTACTTCTAAACATTTGATTCTTGCAACTGTGATTACCATCAAGATAAGGTAAATATTATTCAAATAAACTAAGGGCTTCATCGCCAACAAATTTTAAGCACTATAAAATTAATTTAGTTACGTTGGCAATGCTTGAAATTTGAACTGAGCTCATTTACTTGTCTCAACTTTAAACCTGGCAAAATCTTTGTTTGTAAAATCTTTGTTTGAATGTTGGGAAACTTATTGTCCTTTCTCTCTCATTAGATCATCAAGGACCAGAAGCTGCTTATTATTGTTGGTGGGATGTTGCTCATTGATCTCTGCATCCTGATTTGCTGGCAGGTTGTGGATCCTCTGAGGAGGACTGTGGAAGATTATCCTTTAGAGGTCAGTTAATGGGGTCTGACTGGGAATCCTGAAATCAGGATTTAAAACTGCTCTCGCCTCTTTGATTTAAAAGTAAAATAGTCAAAAATTTAGAAACTACTTTGAAGTCAATTTATTTGAATGCTGATCCTAAATCCATATCTAATTACAATAAGAAGCGAAGAAAAACAAAATACAAATTTAATATTAAAGCAACCGCAGGAAGTGCTACACCTGCCCCCATACCTCCTCCCTCACCCCCATCCCAGGCCCCAAGAAGACTTTCCACATCAAGCAGATGTTCACCTGCACATCTGCCAATGTGGTATACTGCATCCGCTGTACCCGGTGTGGCTTCCTCTACATCGGGGAAACCAAGCGGAGACTCGGGGACCGCTTTGCAGAACACCTACGCTCGGTTCGCAACAAACAACTGCACCTCCCAGTCGTGAACCATTTCAACTCCCCCTCCCATTCCTCAGACGACATGTCCATCCTGGGCCTCCTGCAGTGCCACAACGATGCCACCCGAAGGTTGCAGGAACAGCAACTCATATTCCGCTTGGGAACCCTGCAGCCCAATGGTATCAATGTGGATTTCACAAGTTTCAAAATCTCCCCTCCCCCCACCGCATCCCAAAACCAGTCCAGCTCGTCCCTGCCTCCCTAACCTGTTCTTCCTCCCACCTATCCCCTCCTCCCACCTCAAGCCGCACCTCCATCTCCTACCGACCAACCTCATCCCGCCCCCTTGACCTGTCCGTCCTCCCTGGACTGACCTATCCCCTTCCTAACTCCTTACCTACACTCACCTTTCCTGGCCCCATCCCCGCCTCTTCGACCTGTTTGTTTCCTCTCCACCTATCCTCTCCTCTATCCCTCTTCTATCCGCCTCCCACTCTCTCCCTATTTATTTCAAAACCCCCTTCCCCTCCCCCTTTTCTGATGAAGGGTCTAGGCCCGAAACGTCAGCCTCTCTGCTCCTATGATGCTGCTTGGCCTGCTGTGTTCATCCAGCCCTGCACCTTGTTGTCTCTTAATATTAAAGCTTTTTGTTTTCCAGAAAATGCGGGAGATTTAAAGAAAGATGATTTCTTATTCTGCAACTTTAATTCTAATTTATGCAACGCAGGGAAATATTAGAAATTTGAAGTAAAAAGCTGCAAGCCTTTTTTTAAATTTGCATATACATAATTATATTTTTACAAATCAATCATACACTAATGTGGGTAGAAAATTACCAAAAAAAAGTGAAAATGACCCATTTGGTAAAGAAAACCACAATATTTTTCTTTTTTAAATTAGGCCAATTTATCTAAAGCTGGAAGTTGAGCACTGAGGGCTGAGGCAGTCTCAGCTCATTATACAGTGTCATTCTCAGTCATACAGATGTATTCTCAGTTGTATTTGGAAGGGTAGTCAGAAATTTTTGCTGCGCTGAATGCTACACGTGTGTCACTACATTACTCTTTGGAAAAAAAAATCCGAACTTTTTATTTTGATGATAAATTGAGAAATGTAGACAATGAAAGAGTTGAACAATATACATATGTCATTGAGATGCAGGTAGTCCCTGGGTTGCAAACAGGTTCCGTTCTGGAGTCTGTTTGTAAATCAGTAGTATGCAAGTCAGAACATTGCACAGGACTTTATAAAGCAGCCATTCATATGTACAGTCTGTGTTCATATGTTGGATATTTACAGTTACACCCCTATATGGGAGCGCGTTCAAAATATGAGCATTTCCAATTCGGACTTCTGTAAGTCAGGTCTCTCTGTCGCAACAAATATTTTATACAGGTATCTTTTTAGCATGCAGATATCACACTTCAATTTAAACGTAGCTCAATAGAAAATGAAGTAGCCAATTACCCAGGTTATCTTAAGTAAAAGAAAAAAAAGTTTATTACCAACTAATGTCCAAGGGGAAAAAAATCAAACGCACAAACACAGGTAATAAGTTTAAATGGAAGTGTGTCTGATGCAGACAAGGAGAATAAAGGTTATGTAGTTGAAGAGTCCTTACGAGTTTTGGAGGTGTTGGATTCTTAATCTGAGACCGCAGTTTAATGGCTGACTTGTATCCTCAGCAATTGTGGAAAATGTAGATTAGTGAGTTCTCAGTTTCTTTTTTGTTGTAACAAAATTTTAGTTCATGAAAGGTCTTGGGTATTGCAATCAGATATTGAAAGTTAAAGTTTGGTAGTCCATATTTACCGCTATCATAATTGATGATACACCATAAATAAGGTTAAGGTATTCATTCTGCATTTGAATATGGAACGATAGCAATTATACATATTATCATTGCTTCAATATATGGATACACTGTACAGTAATATAGGGGATATCTTCCTGGACTAATAACCCCGACACCTGGATTAATATTGAGATATGATATGTTTAGGGAATTTCAATCCAGTTAATTAATTAAATCTGAAATAAGAAGCTAATATTAGTGATAGCAGTTATGAAATTACTTGTTTATCATAAAAACACAGTTAATCCAGTAATGATCTTTCAGGAAGTAAATCTTGCATTCATCCCTGGTATGGTCTATTTGTAATTCCAGATCCTCAACAATGTGTCATGAAGTTATACAACATTTAAACTAATCCTTTGGTCCAACTTTTCCATGACTACACACCCCCTGTTGTTAGTCACTAACAGTCCCCATTAACAACTGTTCATCTCCCAGCCTGATCGTTAGCAACTCCTTTGTCTATCCAACTGTCTTTCTCCCTCTTTGGGCTCTATCCTATCGTTTACTCCCTACCCCACCCAACTCCCTGTTTTCTGCATATAAACTGACGTTTTCCCAGCCACCATCAGTTCTGAGGAAGGGTCACCAGACCCGAAACGTTAACTCTGTTTTCTCCTCCACAGATGCTGCCAGACCTCCTTAGGTCTCTTTATTCGGCAACACTTCCCAGGGCCCTACCACTAACTGAGTTCCTACTATCTCTGTATAAGACCTTTCTTGGTTTGCCTTATCAAAATGCATCACCTCACGTTTTATCTAAGTTAAGCTCCATCTGCCACTCCCCAGCCCATTGGCCCATCTGACCAGGGTCGAATTGTACTCTGAGATAGTCTTCTTCATTATACACTACAACACCTATTTTGGTGCCATTTGAAGGTTGACTAATCCTACTTCCTATGTTCACATCCAAACCATTTATATAAATGATGAAAAGCAGTGTACCCAACACCGATCCTTGTGTCACACCTCTAGTCACAGGCCTCTAGCCCAAAAAACCAACCCTCCAACACCACCCTCTGTCTCCTACCTTCAAACTTATTTTGTATCCAATTGGCTAGCTCCCCCTGGATCCCATGTGATCAAACCTTGCTAACCAGGCTACCATGTGAAACCTTGTTGAATGCCTTGCTGAAGTTGACATCGACAACATCTATCCCTCTACCTTCATCAATCTTGTTACCTCGTCAAAAAGCTCAATCAAGTTAATGAGACATGATTTCCTATGTACAAAGCCATGTTCACTATCCCTAGCATCTACACCCTGGAACATTAAGCTGCCAGTCCTGTCCATTCCTGAGTCACATTTCTGTAATAGCTATGATATCCCAATCCCATGTTTCCAACCATGATCTGTCAGGCTTCTTACATTGAAGCAAATGCAGTTTAATTTATTTTTCTTACCCCACTCCCTGCCAAGCTCTTGTCTACATTGACTATTTAACTTGCTCCCCTTATTCGCTGTACTAGCCTCAGCCTTTTCTCTTTTCTCACTGTCACTTTGGCTCTCCCACCCCGTCTTATTAGTTTAGAGCCTCCCGAGTAGCCCTAGCAAATCTCCCCACGTGGATATCGGTTGACGCGCTTAGCTGGCTCTGAAACAGCCAAGCCACTCAGTTGTAACAAAAAGGTCTGCAGTAAAAATAAAACAGGACAGACCATTCAGCACCAGCCCAGTCAGCCATGCAAAATGCTCCTCAGTGACAACTGGGAATGTCTGCCAAAGTCCCACAGAACTAGTTGAGCAACAGCCTCACAAAGTCCTATTCACAAACTTGTACATTTCAGCCATTGTCTAAGAATCCTCAGTCTCCATCGTTGGCCAAGTCCTGTCCCATCATCAGAGAATACCTACTAGAGGTGGCAGCAGAGTGGCATTCAGTTGAGAAAAGAAGATCCCAAAAATTCTCAATGTTTCCTTTGCTCAAACGATGACAAAAAAAAACTCTTGCTGAATACCAGCTACTCCATAACCTCAGTTGCTGGGTCAGTTGAACACCTCTTGGAAGAAGTACTAATGGTAGGAAAGGCAAAGAACTCTGGGTGGAGGACTTCAGCGTGCAGCATCAAGAGTAGCTCAGTAACACCACTTCTGACTGAACCAGCCAACCTATCTACCAAACTGGACCTGCAGAAGATGTTGAGAGAACTGTCATGAGGAGAACTCTTAGTCAGACTCATCCTCACCTGACATAGATGCACCTGTCCATGACATATAAGCAGGAGTGACAACCTCATGGACCATGTGCAGAACAAGTTCTGGTTTCAAACTGAGGCCCCATTGGGTGTTGCCTGACAGGTCCATTGTGATTTATGGGAAAATTCAGAACAGATCTAGAAGCTCAAACTAGCCATCTGTGAAGCGTTGTGACCTATAAGCAGCAGCATCATACATATAAATGAGATGACAATCTGGTGAAGCTACAGTACAAGATGATATGCATTCTGTACTGTGAAAGTAGCAGGCAATAAGACTGAGTTAATAAATTTCCAGATACAAAGGATCAAGTAAAAGCCTTGTTACATCAAATCATGAATTAGACAATTAAGCAATTAACCTAAGGAGGAGAGTTCACAAATATTCTCATGGGGGACACCAGCACATTAGTACAAAAGACAAGACCAAGGCCTTTGCAGTCATCTTCAGCCAGATGTTCCAAGTGAGATAATCCATCTAGGACTTCCCTTAAAGCCCCCAGTATCTATCTTGAGCCAATTTGATTAATTTCACATGATATCAAGAATGGATGCAATGCTCCAA